TGTGTCTCTGCCACATAAATGGGAAAGTCTCACAGTAGATGACTTCATTCATGGTATTGAAAGCATCTTTGCAGAGCACAGTGGAAATGAACATTGTAATGTCAGACAGTCAAGGCCCTTGTCAGCATGTGCTGTGAAGGGAGGTGTTCCATTTTGTGGGGCTTTGAGTGGCTTTGAATGTTTCTTAAGAGAGAGAGATCATGGGTTCAAGATGAAACAAGGAAATTCTACTGCTTTTCACTTACATAATACTTCTGAATCTCTGTAACTTTTTCTGTCATACTAAGATTTTAACTATGTGATTAATTTTGTGTATTAACATCACTCATTTAAGATCTGGGGCAAAATAATGTCCATATATAAAACTTCTAACTCCAGAACAGACATTTTTGAAGAACTCTTTGAGATCAATGACAGCCTTTTACCTTACTTATATTCTAAGATGGATGGCCCTTCCAATGCCTATTTTTCATATTAGCTACTAATGAGTATTATTGAGTCACTGACTAATTCTGAAGAACATTTTGGTGAATTATAATTGGGGCTGTGATTTACTGAGTATAAAGACTGACAGGCCATTCCTTAGCCTGTAATTGCTGTCGAAGCAGAAAAAAGCACCCCGATGATCAGCATTTCCTTTTTGCAGGGAAGTCAAGAGTATAATCCAGCCAAAATAGAATATTATTTTTGTCAGCTATTTCCACATTTTACTTTTATTAGGTATGGCAGGGTAATGGGAAGTTCTACCAAACTAGAAGGGAAATCTCTTTTGTCCATCTCATTCTAATATTTAGTACAGTATATAAAGCATCATTTATCATAGATATTATGAAGTAAAATGGTCACTATAGTCAGTGAGCCACAAAATAGACCAGATAGAGGTAAAGGATTCAGAATTGTGGGCCACAATAAAAACAAACAAACAAACAAAAAGAACAGAATCATGGGAAGGTACACTGTATAACTTGCTATTGCTAAGAGGACAAAACCTGGCTTTTTGTATCCATCAAGTTTATTGGTTGTTTGGTTTTGTTTATCTGCCTATGTTTCTGAACCCTCTAGAGAAAGGAGAGAACAGTCAGATATGTAAATAAGAAAAAAATAAATTTAGATCTACAGATGTATGAGGGCTTCATTCTTAAATAGAAACTGGGGGAGGATGGTCACAGAGATAGCTCAGTGGTCTAAGCCCTGCCTAGGCAAGCGCAAGGACCAGGGTTCACTTCCTGGCACCACATGCTATGTTAGCCCTGCCCCAGGCATGCTGAGCATGGTGGTGCACGCCTTAATCCCAGTGTTGGGAAGGCTGAAACATGAGGATCACTATGAGTCCAAGCTACCTAGTGAGACCCTGTACCAAATACATAAAAATTAAAAATAAATACATAGAAACTGGGTATTGAGACTCCTACTTACTTTCCTTTATCATATTTTTCATTTCATTTCTCTTTTTTTTTTGGCAGAACTGGGGATTGAACTCAAGTCCTTGTGCTTGCCAGGCAAGCGCTTATTCTACTGAGCTATCTCCCTGGCCCCCCTTTACCATATTTTTAATGCATATGAATTGTTGGCTTTGGCATGTGTTTATTTTAATTTATCTTGAATATTTTTCTTTGTAAGATGGTAACTATATATGTGTGCTCTACCATATTTCAGATAAAATGGGTAAACAATGTATGGTTTTTTTGTCAACTGATGGGGGGGTGCTGAGACAGGGTGTAGTACAGGCTGGCTTTGAACTAACGTAGCCCAGGCTAACCTCAAACTTATGATGATGAGCTGGGCATGGTGGCAGAGGCCTCTAATCCCACCACTCAGGAGGCTGAGGCAGGAGAATCGTGAGTTTGAGGCCAGCCTGGGGTACAAAGTGAATTCAAGGACAGCCTGAATTACATAGTGAAACCCTGTCTCAAAAAAGACACACACACACACACACACACACACACACACACGCACGCACACATAACACACATAGTGTAATTCTGCTGCCTCAGCCTCCCATGTGCTAAGATTTCATGCCTGCGCCACTACGTTTCAAAAAGTATTGTTTTTTGAAAAAGCCATTTAGCACTTTCTGGTTTGCTCCTGGGCAAAACTACCTGTTTTAGCCCTTAATCTCTTGTGATCTTTGTACTTTTTCTATTACAGTCTTTTATAAAAGTTTGGACATACCAGTCTCTTCATGTCTGCTTTTCTCTCTCTCAGACCTTTTTTGTTAGGGTCCTCCTTCAACTCCTGTTCACCTGTCCAGTATGTATGTATGTATGTATGTATGTATGTATGTGTTTATTTATTGTCTGAGACAGGGTCTCACTGTGCATCTCAGGCTGGCCTTGAGTTCACTTTGTAGCCCATGCTGGTCTTGAACTTACAATGATCCTTCTGCTTCAGCCTTGAGTGCTGGGATTACAGGTATGCGTCACCACCTCCACCTGGACATCCAGCCTTGTTACAGTTCTTAAAAGACTTGGTCCTGAATTTAATTTTTTTTTCCTACATTCTCTAAGGAGTCAACCAAGGCCCTCTCCTCTTGGAGTCTTTTCTCCAACCTTTTCCTGTCTCTCCTTTTTTTCCCCCTACTCTTAGCCAGGTACTAGGCATCTGTTTTTCAGTCTGTTGCTTATTCTTTTCCTGATGGATGGTGGCTAAAGTCTGCTTGCCATTATCCAGCTAAAAAGCCATGTTAGTCCGTGAAGCTTTCTATAACCATCAAAATTTTTTAAAAATCCAGACCAATACATTTAAAAAAATCAGGCCAGGGCTGGCCTGATAGTTCAGCGGACTAAAGCACCTGCTTAGGCAGAGCTCAGCAGCTGGGGTTCAATCCCTGGCATGCTGTGCTGGTCCTGCCCACAGGGCACACTGAGGTGGTAATTGAGACTGGGTGTGGTGGTGCGCGCACCTGTAATCCCAGCACTTGAGAGGCTGAAAACAGGAGAATCACTACGAGTCTGATCTATGTAGTGAGAACCTGTAGACCCTGTCCTAAATACAGAAAAATTTTAAAAAATCAAATCAGTTAATGTTTTTATATCACACATAGCTCTCTGTATTTCCCTGCTGTTGTTCTTGTTTGTTTATATGTATTGTATACCCTAGTAGAAAATAAATTCCTCAAAGGCAAGGGTCTTAGCTTCAACCTAATTGTGTTTACTGCAGAACATAATATATCTTATATGTAGTAATTACATAATAAATATTCACTAGGATAAATTAATACAAACACTCGCTAAATCAAGCAAAGAGAAACATTCCCAGTACAGCTTCCAAAGTTTCTTCATTCCCATTTTAAAAGCAGTGGGGCCAGATGGAGACCCTGGTTTTATTGCCCCTGGCCTGTAAAAGTTATTTTTGCCCACATACATAATGCTGAGTGAACTTTATATTAAAACTATCGGAGAGTGCCCTGAAGGCATTCGAGGAGCAAAAAAAAAAAAACTATCGGAGAAAGTAGGCTGCTTTCTCAGGGGTATAAGAAATACCAACCATTTGTGTTACTTTGCCCTTCTAAGCTAAAAAATGGAAGGTACATTTTATTTGCTTTGAGCTTCTTCTCATTGATGGTTTTCTGCTGTGCCTGCTAATCAGGGTAGTATTATCTGCCTGTTAAAAGAGACCATCTGAACATTCTCTCTTATGAATTGTAGTTGGATATTAACTGCTAGAGGATATATTGGTAAAGATTTCTGAAATTGCAGGGAAGTGTTTCTTTAATCCTTCAAGTTTGTTAAATGCTTTATTATAATGCAGATCATAATCTCCTTGTTGGTAGAAGTGAAAAGTTACTGAGGGTATTTTTCCCATTCAGCAAAATTGCTGTATTAGAAAATGCTTTGTCTACCTTTTAAAAATCCTTCCCGTGTGCTATAAGGTCTTTAGCAAATAAGTAGATGAAACCAATTTCGTGTCTTTCATAGTGCACTAAACAATGTACAGGTCGCCAGTTCATAAGTGTTAGTGGCCTTGAGCCTTGACAGAGGAATAGTGAAGGTGGTTTGGCTTAGCATTGTGCTAATATACATTCATTTTTGACTACTAGAATCTCAGTTGAGATCATGAATTTGGGAATCAAGGTATTCTTAGAATATCTTGACCATTCAGCATGAATTGTCAAATAGTCTGCTAATGAGGGGTTTCAGGGGACAAAGAGTGAGCCTTTAGGCCATCAATGTTCATGTCTCCTTGATTTGTTCTTCACAGATCTAAAGGGTCAATTTTCATCTGCTCAGCAGATTAAGTTCCCTTGACTTTCACATTTCTATTTTTTTTGCTTTTCTTTCATACTGAAGAATTTTGTTTCTTTGTGAGACAGCCTCAAGTTGCAACCTGCTTTGGAAATGATAACATTATTAATGTACTTCTTCTTTCTGTAACATTTATGACATTCTTTGTTGACTGTGCTTATTAAGTATTCATAGCTTGGGGAATATGTCAGTCCAGCTAAGAGCAAAAGACATGTAGTAATGATTTCTCATCTCATGGGATGGTATGTTAAGACTGGGCCTGTTCTTTTCTAATATCATCTGGGGTTGATAAAAGATGGGGTATCCCTGGTTTATTACTTTTCAGTGCCTTGTACTATCTGACAGTTATCCTGAGAGGAGTTAGAGAAAGACTAGAAGATCTGTTTTTTAATGAATATATTAGAAAAGGTAATTTTGAGTTACTCAAGTGGTACCAGAATTGGTGTTGAGGGGGAGACAACAACGAGATTTTAAAGAGTAACTCCCACAATTTATTGTTGAACGTCCCCAAATGAATACTTAGCACTAAGCATTATTTATTTCTCAACAAATAGTAGTATTACCAGCTTCTCAAATGTAGACTTTAGAAATTACAATTTTGTATCTCATCCCTCTAAAAGATGTCTTGCTGTTGTGTATACTGATCACAAGGCTCTTCACTATACTTCATTCTGTGGGTGCGTATAAGGAAGAGTACTCTGCATCTAACAAGCATCACTCATGGTAGGAAACTGAATTTATTCTTTCATGTTCTAGCAAGTCACCAGCTAATAAACTGCATTGAACAGTTTTTGGATACGAATGAAACACCCTATTTTATGAAAAGCTTGGACTGCATCAAAGCCTTCCGGGAAGAAGCCATTAAGGTAACTCTGGCGTTACCTGTCTTTTCCTTCCAAACAGCTGGCAACCCTTACAAGGGAGAGGCACACCGCTTTCCACAAATAAGCCTGGGCTTTGGAAATCATTATTTTCACAGTGAATAGCAGTATATGCCAAGAGAAGTGGCAGTGATGAAACTCATGCTATTGTCATTTCGGAGGAAGAATTCAGGTGGAGGTGGGTGGGAGGGATGTCTTATCTCTAGCTTTTTATGACACCAAAGCCCTGGCTTTCTGTTTCTGCTTAGGGAACTAGGGAAATTTCTGTTGTTACCTGTGATAGCCCTTTTGTTATTGTAAAAATTAACTATTGTGCTGTAACTCTTACGTTGGGTTATATTAGGGAAATTAATGGAGATATATATTTACACACACACACACACAATTACTGAGGATTTTATAAAGACAGGAGTAGAGATACAAGTACCAAGAAAATAAAGAACACTGTTCCATAATGTTTTTTTAATAATTACTCAGTTTCCGCTTACCATTTGTTATGGTTTTTTGTTTGTTTTATTAGGAATTTTTAGAAAACACTTCTAAAAAGCTACAAAATTATCTGTAGCAAGGTAACAGCGCAAATTTTTAAACTGCTAAGCAAGAGGTAAGCGAATTTAGAAAATACATTCACTTTAGAAAATATATTTTTAAATAGGCACATTTAGACATTTTTTGTGTAGGTGCTTATTAAATATTTGCTGAATAAATGAGCAAATCATTGCTTAAATAAAATGCTTATAAAGAATGACAAGAATATGAGGAAATAGTTAAAATTACATCAGAATAAAAGGGGCTGAGGAGATAGCTCAGCACTCAAAGTGCCTGCCTGACAAGTGCGGGGACCTAGGTTCGATCCCTGTTACCGTATGCCATGCTGTCTACTGAAACTGGGCATAATGGCACATGCCTATAATCCCAGCAGTGGGGAGGCTGAGACAGGAGGATCACTATGAGTCTGAGCTATGTAGTGAGATGCTATACCAAATACATAAATAAATAAAAGATTTTTAAAAACAGATTAGAATAAAAGATTCAGAGGGAAATACCTCAAATACCCTACAGATAAAAGACAAAATTTTAGAAAAGTAGAATCAGGAGGGTGGGTGACTCAGTTGAGTAGACAGTGATATGGTTAGATGGGAAAAGGTCATAAAACATATTGCTTTTTAAAAACAACACACTGTCCCAAACTACATAAAGTATCTGCTAACACTATACTACAGCTACTACTACCTGACCTCAGAAATATGAGGTCATTGGGTCCTTATAAAGGGGGAAGGGTTCAGGACATATGAGAACTTGTACTGTAACATCATGTAACTCGGTAGTGTCCCAAATTTTCTGATTGAGGAGATTATGGGACCAAAGAAGAAAGTGATTGATGATGTAGAGTTACCTAAGGAGAGTCACATGGAGAGAAAACATTCTCTCAGGCTTTCACAGAGAGCACATTGGCCAAACAGTGGCCATGACTCATCCACATGGCTGACACTGACAAAGGTTCTACAATCTGAGGTACAGGATCTCCAGATAAATCCTGAGGGAATTTCACTGACCTTATCAGACCCAAAAGCTACAACTCTTGTTGCATAGGTCCTGCCTTACCTTGGTTTTAACCATCCAGCAGAAAAGTATAAAAACAAAGTATAAGAAGTAAAGCCATGGTGTTATGTTGAGCTGTAGGGGACTCAGGTCAACAATTTCTGACATTGCCAGTGAAGCGGAAGACCCAATACTATTATGGACTACTGAACTCTTTTAGAATATTTTGCTGAGTTTATACACCTATAATATTTAAATGATAGAACTTAACAAAAAAAGGGGATACAGATGAATGTCCATTTTGTATCTGTGTATTCAAAGTGGTTAGGTTAGATATATAGTTACATTCTCTTAATGAATAGAGGGATTTGTTCTAATAGTGTTTGTAAATAGGATATCATGTCCGCATCTTGTACAGCAGTGAACCACTAGGAAGAATGTATGCAGTGTGTTAATTATTGAAACTGTCCTACCAATTTCGTTTGAAATTGTCTCGTTGCTATTTGTTTCTCAATAAAATTATGGAAAAAAAAATAAAAGAGGAAGGGCTGGCCAAATAGCTCAATGGATTAAAGTACCTGCCAACAGGCACAGGGGCCGGGAGTTCAATCCCCATGCCTGCCATGCTGGCCCTGCCCTCAGGACGCGCTGAGATGGCAATTGAGACTGGGCATGGTGGCACAAGCCTGTAATCCCAGCTCTTGGGAGGCTGTAAATAGATGGATCACTATGAGTCAGATGTAGTAGTGAGACCCTGAACACCCTGTAGACCCTTCCCTAAAATAAAAAAAAAAAAAAAAAAAGATAAAAGAGGAAAGCTAGGACTATGGCTGTAGGCCAGTGCAAGAGCACTTGGCTTACATGAATGAAGACCTTTGGTTTAATCCGAAGCACTGTAAAAAAAAATGCAGTAAAAATAAAATAAATGTTTTAAAAAGAGATGGGGAGGAGCAAAACAGATTTTAGAGACATATCAGTCGATCTTAACATAGATAATTTTTAACTAAATTTTTTTTAAAAAAGGAAGAAACTTGTAGAGTAAGAATATGAGCACTAACTGGAATAATTTTTATATATAATAACTCTTGCATATGGCTTCTCTCATATATATGTAATTGTACATAAATATAAAGAATATTTTAGATATTAAATACTGAAATATTTGTAAATGAATAAATTTACATGTATTTAGTAAATGTAAAATTACTAAAATTTGCTTTCAAACATCCAAAAATTCTAAGAGAAGGTAAGAATATAGATGAAAAAAGAGTGACCAGTATATGAGCATTCACTAAGCTGTTCTATTTTAGTTTGAAATTATCTGTATTAAAAGTTAAAAGTGATGCTCCAGGCTACTAAAAACAGTGTGTGGTTGCGGGCGCAGCGCTGGGCCTTTGGGTTCTGTTTCTCAACAAGCCAACCTCAGTTTGAATTGCCAGCTGCTATTTACCAAAGAAGGATGGTTTATTTCTTTATAAGTATGGTAGATTCAAAATATGTAGTTCTTTTGTCTAGGGAAGAATTTGGTTTTGTTTCCTCTGAATGCCACTTCCTCTTCCCCTCTTCGCCCCTAGTTTTCAGAAGAACAGCGCTTTAACAGTTTCCTGCAAGCCCTTCGAGAGAAAGTGGAAATTAAGCAGTTAAATCATTTCTGGGAAATTGTTGTCCAAGGTAAATTTTTCTTCCAAGTGTTTATGCTATTTTAAAAAATATACACATAATCTCTAAATATAAATTAAATTTTGTGATGTCTTACATGGGACCTGATGAATTTCCATTTGGCCTTGGTAAATGCCTGGGATTTGTTGGACATAAAATCTTGTTTAATTAGCGTAAACACAGAATGATAAATAACAAGTAAACGTAGACATCCTGTCTTACGGTATCCACAGCATGACCTGTTACTGAGACTGCACCTCACTGTTGGCTGAAGCCACTCTTGGAATGATCATTGACCCTTCTGTGGCTTCTGAGGCCATTTCAGTTCTGCTTGGTATGCCAGACTTGGGCTGCCTGTCCCACACTTGCTCCCCGCTGTCTGCCGCAACCATGCTCCTGGGCTGTACCGTCAGCAGCTCAGCGCTCCGTGTGCCAGAACCACTCAGCTTCTCCTCATCCATAGTAGCTCCTGAGCTTTTAACCCAGAAAGAAGGGAACACATACGTTTTCAATATTGTCAGGAGTGATGTTTATTTCCTTCATGCCCTTTTCCCAGTTTTAAAAACTTGACCTAGTTTCCTTTCAGAACTCAAGTGTAGGATACTATTTATTTGAAAAATGCATATTATCAAAATATATTTAAGAGATAATAGGTTTTTCCACTTATAATAGGAGACAAAATTAGCTTCAATCCATCTTTTATGTAAATTTTTTATAAAAGGAGTTGCATGCCCTCTAACAGTGTTTTACCACATAGCCACCTATTCCCCTGATAACGATTTTTTCAGCCCTTTAACCTTTATGCTGTGGAGCAAAAGCAATTAGGATATTGAGTGAATGGGGCTTTTTCAATCATTTTTGTATCTCTCCTGCTAACTTAGTAAATGAAAGAAGTTGATTTGGATATTCAGTGAATGCTTATAATATATAATAGGCTGAAAAAAATCTTACAGGACATAAACAGTGAACATATTTTCTGAGAGTTTGCATGCTATCCAGAATATACATACAACTTAAGCTGTTCTCCTCCTCCTCTTCCTCCTCCCTCCCTCCATCCCTCACTCCCTCCTCCTTCTTTATGTATTTGATACAGGGTCTCGGACTCATAGGTAGTGATCCTCCTGCAGGCATGTACCACCATGCCCTGTCTTGGCGGCCTGCTCAGCATGCCTGGGGGTCATGGCCAGCATGGCCTGTGGTGCCAGGGATTGAGCCCTGGTCCCTGTGCTCGCCTAAACAGGCACTTAGTCTGCTATGCTGTTTCACCAGCCCCAACCTATGCTATTTGTAGGTACAAATGTATGTTAAATACATGTGCTTTTCTGAAAGTATATTATGAACTAGCCATTTGATATAGGAAAAATATGAAGAAAAAAACTAAAGAATAGATCTTCTGTCTTTGATTTGCCCTCACTGAGATAAAAGTGATTCACTTCTTTGAATGATAAACATGCCAGTTATAAAAGCATGTTTCTTCCTGAACTGTCCTGTGGCCATTTTATTTTTATGTTTGGTAATACTACTTCGGGTCAAAATACATGTGGAGTCCAGCATTGCCTGTTAGGCTTGGACAGAAGTATGCAGTCATTCAGGCATTTATTTATTCAGCTTTTCATGTGTACTGTATGGAGCAGAATTTGAAAATGAGTAAGACTTAGTCCCTGCCCTTGAGGAAAATATAGTCCATAAGGACATAAAATATGTACAGACAGTTGTATAAGATATGATAAGAGTTACTTGAAAGGGAGAGGCAAAGTGATCTGAGAGTTCTAAAAAAGGGGAGACCTTTCTGGAGTGGACCAGGGTAGACATCATGAAGTGGCTAGAACTTGAAATATGGCCTTTATCTCATATTGTATTGGCAAACGTGGGAGAAAAGATAACATAAGATGAAACACAAAATTGCATTAATTGCTGTTACAGTTTGGTGTTATATCTAGGACAGAACACCTTTACAGTTGTACCAGTCTCCAGAGTAAAGATGGGTGGAGGTGTGGAGAGAAAAGGGGCTGAGACTGACTCTATGTGTTGGATTTCATTTTGTGAATTCTCTTTTAGATGGAATTACTCTGATCACCAAAGATGAAGCCCCTGGAAGCTCTGTCACACCCGAGGAGGCCAAGAAGGTATTGAGAGATGCCTACCTGTCTTTAGTGGGTTTATTTTCTTAATGTCTTCACAGAAAGTAAATTATGAGAGTAACTAAAGCATATATCTTCCTCATAGGAAATTACTTAGTTTTCTGTAGGCCAAGGTTATATTTCTAGAACTCATTTGTAATCCCAATTTAATGATGCTATTAGACTCCACAGTGCATATGGCGCTTATCCTGGACCCTCGTAAAAGCTATGAAATCCTTCTACCCCAGTGATTCCTATCCTAGCTGCACATTAGTCATCTGAGAAAGTTGTTTTCTCTATGTCCCCCATTAAAAATCTGAACCAGTTGGGTGTGGCACATGCCCATAATCCCAGCACTTTGGGAAGCTGAGGAGGGAGGATCAAAAGTTCAGCTGAGGAGCTGGGAGATGGCTTGGCATTCTAAGCACCTGCCTGACAGGTGCAAGGACCCCAGTTCAATCCCTGGTATCACTTATCATGTAAACCTGGAACCCTAGGAGCACTGTGCTGGCCACTGAAACCGGGTATGGTGGTACACTCCTGTAATCCCAGGGCTGGGGAGGCTGAGATAGGAGGATCACTATGAGTTCAAGCTGTGTAGCGAGACCCTGTACCAAATAAATAAATGGTTTTAAAATTTCTTTAAAGTTCAACTGAGACAACCTATCAATTTAACATGACCATGCCTCAAAATAAAAAATTGAGAGAGCTCAGTGCTAAGATCACCGCCATCCCATCTGAATCAACCTAGAGAGTCTGTTGTGTGGGCCTGACGGTTCTAAACATGATTTTTTTTAAGTTTTCAAGTTGCTCAGCTCCTCACACATTGTAATGTGCAGCAAGTAGCCAAGTAGCCAAAACACTCATAGTCTAACATAAGGGTCATTCAGGTGTTTTCAGTAAAGACCCAGTGAGCTTTTGATTGGTAGAATTGTCAGGTCAAGGCCTAACAGTTGTTAAAGAAAAGATATGGGGGCTGGGGAGATGGATCAGTAGAATAAGCACTTCCCTGGCAAGCACAAGAGCCTGATTTCAGTCCTTCGTTCTGCCAAAGAAAAGAAAAGATATGAGGGCTTGCCAGATAGCTCAGTGGATTAAAGCGCCTGCTTATGCAGAGGCAGGGACCAAAGATCAGAGACTGGGTATTGATCCTGTTGGCCCTGCTCCCGGGGGTCACTGAGACAGTGACTGAAACTGGAGGTGGTGGCTTAACGCCTGTAATCCCAGCGCTTGGGAGCCTGAAAACAGGATAACTATGAGCCCAGTCTGTGTAGTGAGACCCTCTAGAACCTGTACTAAATACATTAAAAAAGAAAAAGGTATGGTTGCAATTTTAGAGAATAAGATTCTGGAATTTTAGGAGTATGCTTGAAGGTGTTTCCTGTTGTCTCTGGGGCTTTCACAATGTCTGTCCTCTCTTCTGCCAGTATTGAATACCATGGGCTTCATTGTGGCACTTAATTGTTTGCTTTTATTTCTGTTTGTCACTTCATACTGTGTTGTAAACCACTCCCCTCCCCCTAAGTGTATCAGTCAGGGTTCTCCAGAGAAAGACTCAATAGCATGTGCACACACGCACGCACACACACACACACACACACACACACACACAGAGCTCATTTGTCTTTAAGGAGTTGACTCGTTATTGTAGGGGCTGGTAGGTCTGAAATTTATAATGCAGACTGACAGAATTTCTGTATCATAGTCTTAATGCAGAATTTCTTCTTCAGGACACCTCAGGTTTTTTCTCTCACGGCCTTCAGTTGATGGGATGAGGCCTACTAACATTTTCAGTTGTGTTAAGATAGCTGATTGTACATGTTAATTTCATCTACAACAATGTCTAGAGTAGTGGGTTTTGTTTCTGGTGTTTTGGTAGTGTTAAGAGAATGAACCTAAGGTCTTCATACTGAACTGCATACCCAGATTTTTATTTTTTACTTTGAGACTGTGTTGCCCAGGCAAGACTTGAATTTTGCAGCCTTTGTGCATCAGCCTCCCAAGTTCTGGGTGCTTGGATGATAAACAGCTGAGTTCCATAGATTAACCAGGCTGACACATATTACCCATCACATAGAGTGAAGGCTTATCAATTAGTATTTTCTTTTTTATTTTATTTTAGTGTCAGGTCTACAGGGTGTTCAGGGTCTCACTACTAGATCGGACTCATAGTGATCTGCCTGTTTACAGCCTCCCAAGAGCTGGGATTACAGGTGGGCGCCACCACGCCCAGTTTCAATTGCCCTCTCAGCACTCCCTGGGGGCGGGGCCAGCACGGCAGGCCCATCAATTAGTTTGCTTAAAGAAGAAAACTAAGTGAAGGCATTTAATTTAATTTTAGTCATTATTACTTACCAAAACCTGTCATCCAGGTTAGAGTTGGGTACATACTAGTTTTTGGAGGAATTAGGCAGCGCTGATCTGTGAAAGGTAGTGTTTTCCCCCAGGAGTACATCTGAACCAGAAATGTCATAGGTCAGTGAATCCAGAATATTGGAGGGAAAAGAAATCCGAAAAAGGATAATGTGCTTTCAAATTGTGTGAGCCTTGTTCTATATTGCAAACATGATATTTTCTCTAGAATTTAGGGGCACAGAGCCTAAGCATGAGGAATTGTAATGTCTGATAATTAAGCTAGCGAGAGAAATTTCAGTTATATGAGGTATATCCTTAGCTATTTCTAATATCACCAGAACAGACTTTGATTGTAGTTTAAGACAACTCGGGGAACTTTACCATGTTTAAGTAGAGAGAATATAGTAAAAAAAAAAAAAAAAAAAAAAAAATCCAGTGGAACAGATCCTCTCTCCTACTCCTGGTTGCCTTACTGTGATGGACACCGTCTTCATTTGGGGGCAGTATTTTCAGTCCAGGCACAGTAAGCAGGCTTCCAGTGGACCAGCAACACTTCCTTGACATGAGAGATGAGAGTGGGGAAATCGCTTCAGATATACGGAATGCAGCTTTATGCGAGGCAGTGACATAAAGTGTCACACAGTCTCTGAAAAAGTCTATTGCACAATAGCTGTGCTTAGAAAATGCCATTTTCTTTTTTTTTCTTCACATTTACCAGTGCTTTGGCACTGTGTTGTTGTTGTTTTTTTGTTTTTTTTTTTTGTTGTTGTTGTTTTTTAACAAAGTCTCACTACTTTGGTTGGTTGGTTGGGTTTTTTTGCTTTCTGCAAAGCTTTATTCCAGAGGGGCTCAGTCCTTCTTGGCAGTTGCCTTCCTCATGGCGGATGGCATGTTGCTCAGCTCCTCATGCATCCTCTTGGTGCGGATGTGTATCCCTTCCCTTTTCTTGATGAACTTGAGGGCCTGTTTGTCCTTAGAGACCTTGAGCAGCTCCATGGAGAACCACCTGTAGGGGGCGAAGCCGCACATCTCCTGGATCATGTCTTAGATGAACTTGGTGTATTTGGTGAGGTGTCCGCAGTGGCAGCTGTTGGTTTGCTCACATTCTTAGTCACCTTGTGGCCCTTGTTGAGGCCTATAGCCATGGGATAGCATAGGACCATGACTGGGGAAAGCAGAGAGGAGGGCTACTGTTCTTCAGTTGTTGCTGTGATGAAAATGGCCCTATTTAATATTTATACCAAATGATTATGTAACATTTTGCCATTTATATTATCTGATTCTCTCACTCACTCACTCGATAATGATAGAAAATAATGGTAATAAAATTTTGTATTCATCTAACTCCAGACCAAAGTACCCAGTACCATCTCTGATCTTTGCAGTGACCTGCTAAGAGTTGGCAGAAGCAGAAAACCATTGCTTTTACCACGGGAAGCCAAGTCCCAGAAAGGTTGGGGGGTACACTATGGGCACCCAGACAAGGATGAAAATGCTGCTTCCTATGCACTTTACTGGGTCTTCATTCCTAAGTGGATTCTCTTACAAGTGGGACCTTAACTAACAATCTCTATAAAGTACAGTAGTGTCTACCTCCTTCCTCTCAGCAAAGCACTGTGTGGGCAGAGGTGGTAGTGATCAGAAGTTCTGAGGAGCACAGTGTAGATCTTGAATTCTGACTCACCTTCAGCATATCCTGTGTCCTGTCTAGCTTGCAAAAATTATACTTATGTGTCTGCTTTAATAATAAGAATATTAAAGCAGGCATAAAAGCATAATTATATGGTGCATACCTATAATCCTAGAACTCTGGGAGGCTGTGGCAGAGAGATTGCAATTTCAAGCTTAACATGGGGAAGGGCCAGCCAAATAACTCATTGGATTAAAGTGCCTGCAAGTTGGCACAGCGGCCAGGGGCTCAATCCCCAGGCCTGCCGTGCTGGCCCTGCCCCCAGGGTGCACTGAGATGGCATTTGAGACTGGGCGTGGTGGCACAAGCCTGTAATCCCAGCTCTTGGGAGGCTGTAGACAGCTGGATCACTACAAATCCAATCTAGTAATGACCCTAAACACCCTGTAGACCCTTCCCTAAAATTAAAAAATAAAAAATAAAAACTGGGGAATTAGCAATTTAGCAAGACTCTGTATTTAAAAAAAAAAAAAGCTAGGGTGTACACAGCTTAGTGTGAAATTGTGTATTCAGTCCTCAGTGCTCCCTCTAGCACATAATGCCTTTATTTTGATTTTCAGTGAAATCTTGGTCCTTTCATTACATTTTTAAAAAAAATTATATAT